TCCCTTTGTAAAAAAAAAAATCCCCAGCAAATCAGCTTTGTAAAATTCCCCAGCTAGCCTGCCCCAACAAATCCCCAACAAGTCCGCTTTGTAAAAGATCCCCACAGAGCCGCTTTCAGACAAATCCCCACAGAGTTTCCCCTTGTGCAAATCCCCACAGAGTCTCCCTAATAAAATCCCCATTGAAAATCCCCAAGCAAAATGGGACGGAAAAAAAAACAAAGCCTTACAAGGCAAATCATCACAAAATCGGGAAATGCAAGCCTGAGCAGTCTAAAAGGGTTTCGCCATTTGAATCCAATCAATGGCAGAGTTTCTCAACAGAAATAAGGACGCGACAAAGAAATTGGAACAATCAAGGTCACCGAACCAACTGCCATTTCCGAGCTAACAATTGTTCTTTGTTTGAAAAGTTGAAACAGGTATGATCCAAGACAACCGTGCAAGAAGCAGGTGTCGCCCCAAGAAGAAAGTACATGAGTGCAAGAAACAGTTTGGCAAATAAGGAATCCACTCGAAAGGGAAGTTTCCACGAAATTCTCTTTTACATTTTACTAAAAAAAACAAGAAAAACTCAAAAAAAAAAAGAGGGGGTCAGTTGGTATCTCCGACATTTTTCCATTTAGTCAGCATTAGGGCTCCAACCCTGAACTGAACTTTTTCCATTTAGCCAACATTAGGACTCCAACCCTGAACTGAGCATTATCTGTTAGTCAACATTAGGGCTCCAACCCTAAACTGAACTTTTTCCATTTAGCCAGCATTAGGGCTCCAACCCTGAACTAAGCATCTTCTATTTAGTCAGCATTAGGGTTCCAACCCTGAACTGAGCACTTTTCCATTTAGCCAGCATTAGGGCTCCAACCCTGAATTGAGCATTTTTACCTTGTGGCAATATTAGGGATCCAATCCCGGAGTTGCATTTGGTAGACTGAAATTCTCCAATCCGTTCATCAATTCTATAAACTTCCCGGCATTTAACTCACGAAATTTTCCTAGTGAAATTGAGGAAGAAAATTTCGTTCGTCTGTTTTTCCCCGCAGGTCTGGCCTCGATACACACGGATCGAGACAACCGACGAGATGAGTCTCAACCCAGAATAAAGAAAAGAAGAAAAAGACAAAAAGAAGATATTCCGAGATATTTGGAAAAACGAAGGGCAGATCGTTCCAAGATTTGATCAAGGTCCCGAGTTCTACCAATCCCGTCTCACTCAGTGTCGCAGAAATAAACAGGCGCCTACAACTTGCAAGCATCAAGATTCGGATCGAAGTTTACAAGCAGAATCAGCTAAGACCCAAGATCAAGTTGCGATAGAATCATAGATAGGAATTTTGTAACTAGCAATTGACAGGCATAAGTAGTTAGTTCAGTTTCAATTTTCCTTTGGTTGTAATAAGGCGATCAGTAAAGCAACAGTGGCAACAACAACAGCAGTAACGACAAGCATTGCAATCCCATGGTAGTCCCAGCTACCAAAGTTTCCCGAACTACATTGACCTGATTCCTGTTTAGCCCAGGATATGTAGGAAATCTTTGAAGCGAAGATTCGGTCAAATCTTTCAAAATGCGCTTCGCACGGAGTAGTCCAATATGCAAAATCGCTCGTATTCGCTCACTTTATCTTTGTACGGAAACTCTTCATGTTTTCGCACAAAGAGGGGCAACTGTGAGAACGTGATTTTTGTTTACACGACAATTACTCCAAAAGAAATCAAAATAATAACAAATGGCTTTCCCATACAATTTTTGGAATTTGCATGACATTTTTGTTAGCTATTTGCGGTTTTGTCCGTGTCCATTTAGTCTTGTCCAATAAAAATACAAAAAATATATGTCGAGTATAAGTTTAGGATATTATTCTACTATTAGGAATTAATCGAACCATAATTCGGTTATTAAAAGGAAAATAAAAAAAATGCAGCTTTTATGCTATTTCTTTTCGTCACTAAGTGATTTTATTTGGATGTCCAGTGTGAGTGATAATTATTTGAGTATTAGTTAATATTTGTGTGATGTTAGTTCTTTTTCAATTTAATAGGAATTTTATTTTTTATTTTTATATATATACCAAAAATTAAAAGAAGGAAAAAGAGAATAAGTTAAAAACAGAATTGGGCCAGTAAGTCGGACCAAAAATCAGGCCCAAACTCACTAACCCAGTCCGGCCCCAGGCACAAGGGAAAACNGTGTCCGATCTGTGTCTGTTTGAACCAGAAGATTAGGGTCTAATGGACCTTAATCGAAGTTTTCTCCGTTGAGAACACTCCGATTAAAGTCCGTTCAACCCCAAGAAAGTTCGATTCAAATCTGGGTTAGGGTTTTCTGATTTTTCAAGCCTATAAGGTATTTTTACTTTCTTTTTCTTTATCAGTTCATTTTTTTGTTGTAGTTAAAGGTCTGTTCATATGTCCAAATGTTTAGTTGATTTATTTTTGAATTTTTGTTAACTATTCTGTCCACTTTGCCCAGATTTCTGTATTTGGTCAAGTTTCTCTGCATTTACTGATCGTGTGTATGTGTGTAAGCTGTACAATCAATTGAAATTAAATTTGGTTGATTAATAGTCCCTAGTGCAACTTTGTTTAGTCAGTACAATTTGAATCACGTGTTGATACTTTTGTTTTTATGATCATTGGCTTCAATTGTATATGTTACAATTAGTATGGTCGAGTCGATATACGTCGCCGATTAGTTTAGCTTTGAATGGTAATAATCTGATTCATATTATGGTTTTTGTATGAAGTTCTGTCTGAATCCAACTGGGAACTAAGTATAGCTGTTTGTGGATTTGAATCAGAAACATTTATAGTTTAGTTTGTGGTTTCAGTTCAGTTTGAGTTCTGAATTGATAGCATGTGCACTATAGTTCTTTAATAATTAGAGAAAATGGGACAACATGTGCTGTCAGGCCATCTTCAGGCTGCCCATACCCTAGTTTTAATTTAATAAGATGATAAAGGGATGTCAGGGGAATCTCATGGGAGGATTGTTATTTTTAATTAGTTGAGTGGAAAGACAGCAGACCACATGGGAGGGGTTTTGATTTGCTTAACAGTCTGTAAATGGACTGATGCTAGGCCATAAATAAGGAGGACATATGCAGATAAAAGAAAAAAAGATAGGCAGAGAGAGGCATAGAGAGACATATACAGAGATAAATACACACATATACACAGAGAGATATAGAGACAGGGCATACATACACAAACACAGATACACACACACATGCAAAGAGGAGCTGAAATTGGTCAGAAACAGCTTTGAATAAGAAAAAGGGGTTTCAGAAATCAGGGAGGGAGATCAGAAAAGAAATTCTTGTTTGTCTGGAACTAAGAACACTGCTTTTTCCTCATTCTTTTGTTTGAAATTCAGCATCAAGTTTGTTATTGGTTCTGTCAAGATTTAGGATTTTCCCTTGAGTATTTGAAAGAATCAACATTGAGTACTGTATTGTCGGGTTACTGTTTTGGTTTATTTTGCCTGGGATTGCCATTGTTGCTGTGTTGCTTTGTCGTTGCTGCTATCTGTTACTACTGCTGCTGATTCTCCCTATCTTCTTTTTTCTTCTGTTGGTATTCAACATTCAGGTACACATTTGAACCTCACATTGATGTAGAAATCGAAATCATGAAATGAAGATGCAAAGGAATTTAATCAGTCGTTGCTTTACTTACAGCTTTGTAAATATTGTTCAAATTGTGTAATTCTTTAATTTGTAGCCCAATAGAGAGAACCTTAGTAAGTTTGTACTTAATTGAAACTACTTGGGTCTAGAAACTGCAATATGGTTTGCTTAGTAGTATACATGATATAGTTATATAATTTATGGAATGTGCAATCGCTTAGTATAATCGTTAATTCAAACTCTTTCTCCAGTTATGCTTTGAATATGTAGGATGGATGACTTTTAAATTTTGCCAAAAACGATACAGTTTTTAAATTCTTGAATTTCAGCTTCATTAGGCAGTTTATAGGACGGGTTTCCGAATACCATTGGTGACATCCTCTAATAAGTAATTCTATTAATCTTGTTTAAATGGGCTNTAATAACTCAAAAAACTTATATTCCTCTGTCTGATTTATAAACACTATTAACCTTCATTAATTGGGCGCCTTGTACTCTTCTTCATATTGTTTTTTTTGTTTGTTGAAACTTGTATTTATCTTCTGAATCTCTCATTGTCTCTCACCATTAATGTGGATAGGTATTCTTGTCTTAAGGGTTCTTATCAGAAAGCTTACACCTTTCAGTATACCCATGATATGCCAAAGACCTCACATTTACTTATCGTAGGCATCATACAAAAATCCAATTCCTCTGACCAGCTCTTCCATAACTATCTCTCTTTCCAACCTTCTTTTCGGATGTAGGTATCATCTTATTATGAATAAAATAGAATTTCAGAATTTGAATTCTTATAAGTGAGCTCTACCACACGTTCTAGTGTAAGAAGAAATAGTGACAATCCTAAATGCCTTTTAGCCTTCTGCTTATAAGTGTGGTGCACGACATACCCATAAACAAGACTCTACTAGACACAGCTTGTCGACTCCCTAGGACAGAACCGCTCTGATACCACTTTTATTACGATCCAAACCGATGGGCCGCGACGGGCACCTGGTACCTTACTTAACCGAGTACCAACATAATGTATCTTTTCATGTCATACTATTATAAATAACTGAGCCGGAAAGGCTGCCGTGAAATACGTAGAATACAACAGGTAATGCCAACTTATACATAAGACATATGGGCCTCTAAGACCAAAATTAAGCACTTGAACACTGAACATAGGCCGACAAGGTCATACGATCTTTTACGTACATGACATCTGTCTACAAGCCTCTAAGAATACATAATTTTCATAGAGGTCGAGACAGAGTCCCGCCATACCAAACAATACACATCTAACTCATACTAACCAATCAAGCAACTCCGAAGCAAATTGAGCGCACCAACATCTTCCGTTGAGCTGATAGCCTACTTGGAGGGCTCTCGACCTATCTATGGGACCTGCGGGCATGAAACATAGCATCCCTAGGCAAAAAAGGACGTCAATACGAATAATATACTAAGTATGTAAGACACATAAATAAGTACATATCAGACATAAAGGAAATATAGATTAAATGACTCCACCTGTAAGTCTGGATAACTTTGTAAATCATGAAATAATTGTAGTGTCATATGCGTCTGAATGCCATGTCGTGCATAGGTACATGTTTAATAACATCATCAGCCTCTGAGGGCGTCCCATCATATCATCTCGGCCACTGTGGGCAAAATCATCAACATATACCAGCTGATCAGGTGGTGGTGTGTATATAATACCATAACCTTTCCCATATCCCATATACATATATATACATACATATATACGCGTATATAACGCCATCCGGTCATGGGTCAATGTACATGAATGCAATGCATGAAAAGTACGTCAATAAAATCTCTTGGAGTGTCATAAGACCATTATGCCTTTGAATGATATCATAAAGTAAACTCTTTTCAACTTTCGTATTTTTCTGAGACCCATGAACATATGATAGAATAATATGACACATGGGAAATCAAGAATATAGGCACCCCTAATATTTCTATGAATAGAGTCATTTATGAAAGTTGCATATTTTGCTCGTTTTATTTGTATCGTATGGATCAGGCTAAAAGAAAGAACGGATTGCCTTAATATACCTGGAGTAGGAAAAACTCCGTATAATATTCTCGCAAGAGAATTTGATTTGCAAAAGTCTTGTTGCTTAACGTCTTGTAGGCTTGAATGTAACGTTTCTAAATGTTCTGTTGATCTTTGGTTTCAAGACAAGAAAAGTGAAGTTTCTTTGAAAGCTTGGAGAATGCTAAACATTCTGTTGATCTTCAGTTTCAAGACAAGAAAAATGAAGTTTATTTGAAGGCTTGGAAAATGCTGAACGTTCCTTTTATGATAAGATACTAATTATATATACAAAGTATAAAAGGTGAGGTGTCTTTGAATGTGTTATGGCATGTTGCCACCTAAGCCAATTTGACTATTAGTCATTTTGTTTGGTTTGGTGGCGCTGCCACGTATTTTTCTTGGGGGCGGGTTATTCTTATTTCATATTTTAATAATTAACTAGGTAATGCTTTGTTATCCGGTAATTAATAAATTACCCGTATAATCAAATATTATCTCCACTTACTTAAAGTAATCTCTTTTGACATACTTTGTACATCTTATGGTCATGTAGTACCTTGTATGACACTAGTCCATAAATACCAGGTATTTTAGCTCGGGCCATATTTTACCCCAAAATGCCAAACTTTGACGAAAATTCATTTTCTTTGACTTACTTCCCTTTTCACCTTCACGAATTTACACATCACTTGTGAAATAGCATAATTCTTATAATCTCCAAATAATCTTTTACTTGGACTGATGTCAATTACCTTACGACAAATTCAACGTACAATACTACAGGGTGCAACATCGTCGTAACTTAATACTGCGAAGCATAACATCACCGTAATGTAATACTGCAGGGTGCAACATTGTCATAACTTAATACTGCGAAGCGTAACATCATCCTAATGTAATACTGCAAGGCGTAACATCATCGTAATATATACTGCAGGACATAACATTATTATAATATTGCAGGGTGTAATAGTAAATCATCCCAAAATTTAATAAGAATTCCCTCTCTCTCTTTCTCTGCAATATTGTTCATCTTCTTTTATTGTTTTATAATAACTAACTAATTAAAGTAGAATTTTTAACTAAAGATAGTAAAGGTTAGAGACAAGATTAAGTCGACCTAAAGTTATGATTTCCCCAATTGTCAGAATTCTCCTTGCTATGTTTCCTATAATTTCGCCTAAGTATTCTCTATTGATCGTGAGTACTTCGGGTATCGTAATTCTCTTCCGAGCAACTACCACAATCTACTAGACATATTCTTTCGAACTACGCTAGCTGGCACTAGTTTAGCGCTCACTAAGATCACACCAAGATTTTGTTATTACTAATCCTACCTTTAAAACCTCTGTATTGATTCCTTACATACGTTAGGAGTGATTTTGTTCAATAACTACCTAAATATGTACCATTTTCCAAGCAATACACACTAAACAGGCACAGTCAATTGAGGGTCCTTCAATCAAGTAAGATAATCATGTAGTTGAACAAGTAGAGAAAATTCAACGACACAATATATTAAACGCAACAAAAAATCATCCTCCAAAAGGTTCCATTAAACCCTAGATAAAAGAGTTTAGCTACTTATAACCATACTAACAACCCGTTTGGACATAAACCTTTTTTCCAAAAAAAATTATTTTTTTTCGAAATCAGTGTTTGTTCATAAAAATTTCAATTTTCACTTGAAGATGCATTTTGGAAATTTTTAAAAATTTAAAAAACTCCAAAAGTCTGTTTTCAAAATTTTCACTCAGAAAACTTCAAAAACAACCCAAACTGAAATTTATGTCCAAACATAACACTAAATTTCAAATACCATTTTCACTTGAATTTTTTTTTCACCATTTTTTGGAATTTTACAATTCTTATGTCCAAACTCCTACTAACAATCATGATAATAATTGAGAGCATTAAAATATAGATTAAGGGAGAACGGAAGAGAAAAAATCTTGTGATTATTTGCTTACAAGTGTTCCTCTAGCCCTTTTCCTCTCTAATCATGTCTCTCCTCTAAGAAATAGGCTTAGAATCCCTTTTATACATGCTGGGGAGTATAGGGTCGAAACTACCAAGTCCTAGCCGAGGTAGGACGAAATCCGTCCTTGGGCGTCTCGCTTGGCGCTTGACGCCAACCTGGACACTGAAATTTTTCTACTTTTTTGCTCTGCTGCCCTTGGAATTTTGGTTGGTGCCTGGCGCGAACATGGGCACCAAAGTTATACTCCCTCCAAATTCTTCCGTTTTTACTTCAATTTGCATGCAAGCTTTCCCAAATCACTTCCAGTTGACTCCTATATATATAAATACTATTATTAAGCTCGAGTTACAAATATTCACACCAAAGTTAATAAAATCGAGACATAATGCAAGAAAATTACATATAAAAATATGAATTTTTAGCCTAACAACATCAAGGTAGGCTAAATCTATTGAGTAAAAATGCCAACCCTTACCTTGCTCTAGATGGATACTATAAGAGGTATCCAATACCTTTTAGAAGCCAAGAGAATCATGAATTCATGCTTCTACAATCCTTGTGCATGTCTCTAACTCTGGATTTTACTCGATATTTCTTGCTCTTGGCATTAGAGGTGGATCTAGGATTCTAGAACATGAGATGCACCACAAAAAAAAGTATAAAGTGGGAATTGATCTCTATTCTTTTAGGTAAATAACTAAATCTTTATTCAAGTGTACTATTCAATCTTTTGAGTGCATGTGAGGCAGTAGATAATATTAGATCACTGCTAAAAAATATGTACATAAAATATCTAATTTAACAGAGAAACTATGGGTTCACGTACACCATAAATTGAATAATAAATCCGCCCCTGCTTGGCATGACCAAGAAATATGACAACATAGTTGGCATCATTACACTTTTTATTTGGAGGCTGGCGCGCCTTCATTATCCGCATGAAACATGAGTTCTCACGTACTAGTGATTCCGCTTTACAATGCATAAATCAGTTCACTCATGTCTTTATTGCAAATAATGATCTTCAACCATGTCTGTTGATGAGATGAATAACACCAAAAAGAAATTTTTATGTTCATGATAGATATGTGGAATAGAGATTCTTAAAAACACCTTTCTCTTTTCCAGTGCACATAAGCAACAACCTACTCGAGGCTAATACACCATGGCATGCGTATTCTGTAAATTTTGTTATTAATCGAAGCGATTAATGCTGATGTTTAAAGAAGGAAATAATTAGGTTGCTTAAGGCTCGGAGAAAAGCACAGAAGTCATATCGTATCAAATCCGTACGAGATTGAATTTTAGACCACTAGAGATGTGTAATATACTAGAATTTTGTAATAGAATTTGAAAGAAATAATGGAAAGAATAGGATTTCTTTATTGATTTGTAATAGAATTGAGATTGTTACAATGTATTTCTATAATCGAACAACATTGACGCCATTGTTATACCTGAAATAAGGAGAAGAGAAAGTGGTTAGAAATGAGAGAGAGAGAGAGATATAGGTAGAGAGAGAATTGGTTAGGAGTTGTAACTGAAATTTACCAGAATTAGTCTCATTCTTCCTTCCTTCTTCTGCGTATTAATACTCCTCACTTAAGCTGAATTATTAATTGGGCTATTTGTAAATGGTCCTGCTCTATTCTATCTCCGTTGGCCCAGTAATTGTAAGACCAATTGAGCCCCAGAGCTTAATCTGGTCCACTTATGATACAACCCTCAATATAGAAATAAGGTCCCCATATAGAAATATCCGCCTACTTTCCTAATTCATTTCTTCAGACATTACAATCCCTACCTCTCCAAGAACGACCTTGTCCTCAAGGTCTTTGTTGAGCAACAAAATCAGGAAATCTGCTTTTGATATATCTCCAATCCTCCCAAGTGGCATCATCCTCCCTTAAATTTGCCCAATGAATTAGAACTTTCACCCCCACACCATTATTTTCCTTCGCAATACGCCTTTAAAGGATTGCAACAGGTTGAATCAAGATTTATCCTTCGTTATCACAAATTGGTGGCTGTGGCTGTGGAGTAATGGATGGACCAACACGCTTCTTCAACTGAGAGATGTGAAAGACAAAATGCAGCTGAGACCCTTTAGGAAGCTCTAACCGGTAAGCCACTGTTTTGATTCTTTGCATGACCTTGTAAGGTCCATAAAAATGAGCACATAACTTGACATTTCTCCTGACATCGATGGAAGACTGTCGATATGGCTGTAGCTTAAGGTAGACTAGATTTCCAATCTCCAATACTCGGTCAGATCTTAGCTTGTCAGCATAGAACTTCATTCTACATTGAGCCTGTGTAAAATTGTCTCGTAAGGACTGTAACATCTGTTGTCTCTGAACTAAGCACTCTCGAGTTGACTGATGACCAGTTTGTGGTAAGGACCCCAACGGAAGTTGTGGAGGATCATACCCATAGATTGCCTAAAAAAGTGTAGTCTTGATGGAGTTGTGATAGTTGGTGTTGTACCACCATTCCACCGAGTGTAGCCATTTTCCCCACTGCTTAGGATTATTGAAGACCATAGCTCTCAAATAAGTTTCCATGCACCTGTTAAGTCGCTCTGTTTGTCCATCAGATTGAGGGTGGTAAGCAGTGCTCATGTTGAGCTTAGTGCCCAAAGTTTTAAAGAGATGTTGCCAGAAGTGGCTGGTGAAAATAACATCTCTGTTCGAGACAATAGTCCTTGGCAATCCATGTAACCTGTAGATTTCCTTAAGAAATAATTCAGAAACATCTTGGGCTGTATAGGGGTGTTTGAGTGCCAGGAAGTGCCCATATTTGGCTAATCTATCCACTACTACCAAGACTGCATTTTTGTGCCCAAAATTGGGTAGACCTTCTACAAAGTCTAATGATATGTCTTGCCAAGCCTGTGTGGGTATATGGAGGGGTTGTAGAAGCCCAGGTGGGTGAATGTTTTCTGATTTAACTCTTTGACACACATCACACTCACTTACCCATTTGCATTTCTCTGTCTTCATGTTTGGCCAATAGAACATAGATTGTATTCTTCTATAGGTGCCTTGTTGGCCTGAGTGCCCTCCAATAGGTGACTGATGCAAGACCTCCAAAATCTTGGTTTTCAAAGTAGTGCTTCTTCCAATGTATATCTTGTGTTTATACCTTATGGCCCCTTGTTGCAATGAATAATCTGGAATGTTGGAGGGAGAAATTGATAGTTCACTGAGTAGTTGTGAGGCTAAAGGGTTTGATTCATAGCTTTCACATACTTCTTCAATCCATGTAGCCTGAGTGGTGGAAAGGGATAAGAGTGTAGAGTCTTTCTCATTTCTTCTGGATAAAGCATCTACTACCTTATTTTCTACTCCCTTTTTTATATTGAACCTCATAATCCAATCCCATAAGCTTTGTTAGGCCCTTCTGTTGTAATGCTGTAGTTACCTTCTGCTCTAGTAAGTACTTTAAACTCTGATGGTTTGTCTTCACAATGAAATGTCCTCCTTGTAAGTAGTGTCTCCATTTGTCTATGGCTGATAGCACAACCATATATTCTTTCTCTTAGGTAGAAAGTCCTCTATGTTTGAGAGCAAGAGCTTTACTAAAATAGGCTATAGGTCTGCCAGACTGCATCAATACAGCTCCTATCCTAGTGGAGCATGCATCAGTCTCCACTATAAAAGGCTTAGTGAAGTCAGCTAGAGCCAGGACTGGTACTGTTGCCATGGCTTTTTTCAATTGCTGAAAAGCCACTTCTGCTTCTTCATTCCATTGAAATGCATTTCTTTTGAGTAAGTTTGTTAAGGGTCTGCTAATCACCCCATAGGACTTAACAAAGCTCCTATAGTAGCCTGTAAGCCCTAGGAAACCTCTAAGGGCCTTAATAGATTTAGGCACAGGCCAGGACAACATAACTTTAATTTTAGCAGGATCAGTAGCTACCCCTCTTCCTGAAATGATATGTCCTAGATATTCCACCTTGTCTTGCCCAAATGAACATTTGGACAATTTGGCATACAACTGCTCCTTCTGTAGAACTTCTAACACTGTTCTAAGATGAGCATGAGTTTCTAATGTAGGACTGTAGAATAATATATCATCAAAGAATACCAACACAAACTTCCTCAAAAATGGTTTGAAAACATGATTCATTAGTCTTTGAAAAGTGGCAGGTGCATTAGTCAAGCTAAAGGGCATGGCCTTGAACTCATAATACCCTAAATGAGTTCTAAATACAGTTTTAAAAATATCACCCTCACTCATTCTGATTTGATGATAACCAGCCCTTAAGTCAATCTTTGAATAGATGCAAGAACCATTGAGTTCATCCATTAAATCATCTACCAGGGTATAGGGAATTTGTCCTTAACTGTAATTTTGTTAAGCTCCCTATAGTCAATGCAAAATCTCCAACTACCATCTTTCTTTTTAACTAGAAGTACTGGTGAGGAGAATGGGGAATGACTAGGTTGGATGATTCCATTTGTCAACATTTCATTAACTTGTTTCTCTATTTCATTCTTCTGAAAATAGTTATATCTGTAGGGTCTGATACTTACAGGTGCTGCATCAGGCTTGAGGGGAATAGAGTGATCATGATCCCTCCTTGGTAGCAAGGACTTTGGCTCTGCAAACACCTTGAGAAAGTCCTGGAGTACTGATCTGATTTCTTCAGGTAATTCTGCTGCCACTTCTACTTCTTTAGCTGAGATTAAAAATAAGTGTGCCCACAACACCTGTCCCTTCTTCAACCATTGTTAACCCCAGAAGCAGTCATGGCCTGTAGCTGGCCTTCTTCAAAATATCCCTTCAATTCCACTCTTTTGCCATTGACACTCACTTGGAGTCTATAGCCAATAAAATCAAATGAGACTGGATTGTGCTTCCTTATCCAGTCTACTCCCAATACCATGTCACAACCTCCCACATCTAACAATCTTAGCTTGTGCTCAAATTCAATACCATGTATTTTCCATTTGAATGAAAAGCAGAAATGATAGCTCATCAAATGACGGCCATTAGCTGCAGTAACCCTCATAGGTGCATCTTTCTTAATTACACACCCCAGCTGTTTTGCACAACTGCTAGCCATAAAACTATGAGTGCTGCCACTATCAGCTAAAATTATCAACTTTTGTTTCCCATACATCCCTTTTAATTTGATGGTATTAGAGGTCATAGTTCCTAATAAGGCATTGAGGCTTATGGCTTCATCAATTATCTCCTCTTGCATATTCTCCACTTCTTCTATTTCTTCTATTCTCTGACTTTCCTCTATTGCCTCCTGATCAGTAGTACCATGCAAAATGTTCAATTGCTTATCCTTGCATTGATGACCTGGGAAGTATTTCTCCCCACACCTATAGCATTCACCCATGGTCTTTCTTGCTTCAAACAATTTATTACCATAGATGGTGGAATTAGAATAGCCCTCTTTCTGTATATTTCCTACTGTTCTGCCCCCTGTTGTCCTAGTATGTGAATTATATTGGGTTGACTGTCTTCCTGTACCCCCCTTTATTCTTTTTATTTATTGAATCCAACATTTCCTCTTTATGTCTAGCCTTTTCTACAGCTTGACTTATGGAAAATGGGTCAAGCATTTTGACTGTATGCCTGATTTCTTCCTTAAGTCCTTCAATGAAAAATCCTAGAAAGAATTCTTCAGGAATGGTTGGGTGTTTGATTAGTACCCAAGTCTTCAAATCTTCAAACTTCTCTAGATATTCATTCACAGTTCCCCTTTGCTCAATTCTCTTAAATTTTCCCAGTAGATTTAGATGACTATTTTCGGAATCATTAAATCTTTTACAAATTTCCTCAACAAAATCTGGCCATCTCACCATTCCTCTACTCAATTGATAGGAGAAAAACCAAGACTCAGCCCTCCCATTTAAGTGAAGAACTGTAGTGTCTAATTTTTGTTGCGGGTCAATTATACGATTATAATGGAAGTACCTTTCACATTTTCACAGCCAAGATCTGGGATCTCCCTCTTCAAAGTAAGGGCAATCCACTTTAGCAGCAACACTGTTTGAGTCTAGAAGAATTCTCCTGTGGTTCCATCATCCTCATTTTGCTGCTCGATCCATCCATTTGGTGAGCCTCAACTGGAGCACTACCAAGGATTCCATCCTTGCTCACGAACAACTTATCCATCATGATGTCAAATTTGTGATTTAGATCATCCATTTTGGAATCAGTGGATTCCAATTTCTTATTTGTTTCTGCCATGTAATTGTGTAACTGGGTCTCCAGTTTTTGACATTTTCTTCTGTGGATTTGGCTTGAGTTTCTGGTGCTGTCATGGTACCAGGATTCAACTCTGATACCAATTGTAATATACTAGAATTTGAAAGAAATAATGGAAAGAATAGGATTTCTTTATTGATTTGTAATAGAATTGAGATTGTTACGATGTATTTCTATAATCGAACTACATTGACGCCATTGTTATACCTGAAAGAAGGAGAAGAGAAAGTGGTTAGAAATGAGAGAGAGAGAGATAGGTAGAGAGAGAATTGGTTAGGAGTTGTAACTGAAATTTACCAGAATTAGTCTCATTCTTCCTTCCTTCTTCTGCGTATTAATACTCCTCACTTAAGCTGAATTATTAATTGGGCTATTTGTAAATGGGCCTGCTCTATTCTATCTCCGTTGGCCCAGTAATTGTAAGACCAATTGAGCCCCAAAGCTTAGTCTGGTCCACTTATGATACAACCCTCAATATAGAAATAAGGTCCACATATAGGAATATCTACCTACTTTCCTAATTCATTTCTTCAACATTACAAGATGCATGTTTGTTTTTAAAATAGTGCCCATATTATTTTTCCAACTTGCCAAAAAAAAAAAAAAACTATATTCTTCAATGTTGACCTATATCTCATCCCACGGCCAACACCCTTTTCTGCATCAAATTCATAAACATATATTTTCTCCTTCTTTAGCCCAACACCGTGCATTGACTATTCTTCTAGATATTTCCTTGTATACTTTTTGAGTTTTCTTGTGAAGAAGAAACAACAATTCTTCGGGAATAAATATGGTTGACAATAGAAAAAAGTATTTATGGGGAATGGTTTTAGAGTTTATAAAGTGGATCGGCAAAGAAACTAGGTTGAAAAAGTTGTATAGGTAAAAAGTGAACCTACCAAATGGACAAATTAAATATTTACACATGGCAGACTGCCAAATTGCATATATGAAAACTATCAATGGATTGGAGGGCTGTCTGAAGAATTAATTCAAGGTCAAATGAGTCAAAATTATTGATATCAATTCCAACTGAGGAGTCAACAAGAGAAGTTTTACCGTAAAGTCTCGTATGTACGGATAGAAACAAAGAAATGGTCAATCCTAAATAAGAAGAGATTCGACATTAGTTACAAAGATGGCTACAAAACACACCTCCAAAAGAGAAGTAAAACAATCGTTACAATAGTAACTCAAAGTAAGAGTCGGGATCGATCTACAAAGAGTTTATATAGTTATTAAGATAGATGCCTAAGAACGAGACTTATCATATCTTTAATTAGCTTTCAACCAAAAGTATGAGTTAATTAATCCATGGATTTCATTAACTATTATCGTAAGAGGCAATTCAACAAACACGTAACAAGCGAGAATTAACTAAGAGAATGACAAACCTAGAGTTTTATTCTTTACCTAGGTGTTTCACTAGATGGATATTATCTACTGAGCTTGATTGGGTGATTGGAAATATTATGATACACACTCTAATTTACTCTCTTGATGCTTCTCAATTATTAAGTGGACTAATTAAATGCTCTCTCGAGTCAATAGAATTGCATTAAGCTTAGGTGTTGTTGTATCCTAGTCAAGAGATCCCTATCTCTAACTCACTCTCTTTAATTAGATCTAATCAAACTCTCAATTAATCTAATTCTTTGTTAGCAAAATTGCTAAATTTCAACTCCTCTTTCTCAAGTATGAGTCAAATCACAAGGGAATGAATCAATATTTGCAACCACTAGTTCACATTATAAAAATGGTTAAATAATAACTAATCCAATCTCAAACAAGCTCAATATTAAATGCCCATAAAGTTTCACACAATAGAGTGCAAGTTCAATGCCGAGTTGATGGAACCGGGCATGCACATGAGGCTTGGATTGCAGGTCATCCCCAAGAGAGGCAGTTTCAAGTACCTTGGGTCGGTTATCCAGGAGAACTGGGAGATCGACGAGGAGATCACACATCGTATATGAGTGGGATAGATGAAATGGAGGTCAGCATCCGGAGTCTTATGTAACAAGAAAGTGCCATCGATACTCAAAGGTAAGTTTTATAGAGTAGTGGTTAGACCAGCCATGTTGTATAGGGTAGAGTGTTGGCCAGTTAAGAACTTACATATATAGAAGATGAGAGTAACAGAAATGAGGATATTGAGGTGGACGTGTGGGCACACTAGGACTGATAAGATTAGTAATGAAGATATTCAGGAGAAGGTGGGCGTGACTCCTATAGATGATAAGATGCAGAAAGCGAGGCTCAGATGGTTCGGGCATATACGGAGAAGAAGCCCTGATACCTGGTAAGAAGGTGTGAGCGGTTGGCTTTGGCGAGTACGAGAAGAGGTAAAGGGCGACCTAAGAAGTACTGGGGAGATGCGATCAGAAAGGACATGGCGAAGTTTCAGATTTTCGAGGACATGACCCTTGATAGGAAGGTGTGGAAGTCGAGCATTAGGATTGTAGGTTAGGAGGAGGTAGTTGAGCATTTTTCTTCTTCGTACCGGATGTGGTTAGTCTGATAGGGTTTGTCTTAGACTGCTAGAGGTTAATGTTGCGTTCACTCTATTCGTCCATTTTTTATGGCACCGGGCCTTATTTATTGGTTATTATTATTGCGTCTCATCTATTTTCTGGTTCTTATGATGCTGTTATTATTTCTGTGATTTCTGTCGATGGTACTAATATATTGTATCTTTTTGTCTTGTTCGTTTTCTTGAGCTGAGGGTCTATTGGAAACAGCCTCTCTACTCTATCGAGATAGGGATAAAGTATGCGTACACAATATCCTCCCCAGACCTCTCACATGTGGGATTTTACTGGGTTGTTATTGTAGTTATTGTTGTTGAGTAACTACTAAGAAGGTGCTAAGAGAGGGTGGAGTTATTGTCACTGGTTAAAGGCATAGGATCTGTTGGCAGAGGGGTAAAAAGGGGAAAGTAGTGAATTAAGGGAAAACCCAAGACTAAACTCTATATAAAGTCTGCATTTCCTTTTTAAGAGGCAGTTTAAAGATTAACTTGGAGAGATTTTAGAGACGATAAAAATACTTTTTTTTTCTCTGAGAAAGAGTTATAGAAATCATTAATCTAAACACATTTCTTTCCTGAAGATTTCTGAAATTCCAATAAAAGCTAGTGATAGATGGTGATTGTTTGAGTATGAGTCAATGATTTTACTGATTATTCTGGATTTTTTTTTATTGATTTCTCGGTATTTCAAGTTGGAGATTGCTGTTGTTTCTTAAGTTGTTCAGCCTCATTTCTTTGCTTTCTTATTCGATTATTGTTCTGCTATAATCTGCATTCAATGTACTATTTGTATCACCATGTAATTTTTTAGAGTACCTATAAATATAGTTGTGTGAAATTATCAGTATTAGTTATATCCATTGTCACACCTCCTTTTTCCCGAGGGGATAAAGTGATATTATTCGAAATGAGATTATTTATTTAATTTAGAGTCGCCACTTGAAATAATTATGATGGTGTCCCAAGTCACCAGATTATTTTAAATCCCAAATCGAGGAAATTTGACTCTATTTTAAAGTCCGCAAAACCAGAAGACCGGTTAAGGAACTCTGTTAACCCGATAGAAGGTGTTAGGAATTTCCGGATTCCGTGGTTTTAGCACGCTCAACTATCAATAATTGGCCTAATTATTTGATCTAATACATACTTTAAAACCTATTGTGCATTTAATGCTTCTATACTGCTTTTAATTATTCAATCAGTTTTTAAGATTTATGGAGTTTATTTAAATAAGTCGCGATGTCGCGCACTTATTGTTTTTGTACATATTGCGAATCGCGTCACGTGAAATGCACCCGCGATTTACAACATGTTTATTATTATTATTATTATTTGAAGTTGTGGCCGAGTCACGTGAAACACACACTCGAATTGTGATTTACGTATCATGACTATGTTACGGGAACGGTACCCATAGTCACTATGATTTATTTATTAATCGCGCCTAAAGTAAACTATGATATTAGAGAGTTCTTCATTTCTTAAGCTTGTTCAAGATTATTTGTGACAGAAAATAGGCCCTACTGCCTGTTTGGGGCCGAAGACTTTTAAACTCAAGTCTATCATTTTAATATAGGAGTCAAAGAATCAGTTAATAACTAAGATGCTAATCATAGAAAAAAAATCAGTTAATAGCAAATTTGGCAAGCCGTACACATAATCTAATGAAAATGGGATATCTTTCTGAATAGCTTGCAAAATCAACACTCAAAATGATTATTTTTGCACTTATATCCTGTTACAAATATGGTCATATCTTGACATTATCGGTGTAACTATTTTACAGTAATAACCAAATCCTAACTTTCAAATTCTCCTCACTTTTGCTTATGCTACTTTTGTAAATCCTTTAATATGAACTCCCCTTTTAACACCAATCATTTGATTTTAACAGACCCAGTGTAAATCAAAGTGACATCAGACTAAATCAATATTTAATGACAAATGAATTCAATCACAACAAATCACATTTTTTGATAAATTAGCTAGCATTTTATTCACACTGAAACTAACTCAAGGCAGCCAAATCCAAATAGCATTAAAAGATAAAGTGAAGTAGTCATGATTTTATATTAAAACAAATCTGAAAAAATACAAATAGAAGAGAACATACATACTTGGGCTAGAATTGACCTTCGAGGAAGGCAAAAACAAATAAAGGCCAAATTGGCAATTCGGCAATCAAGAGCAGCTCAGCAAAGTGACGTCCACAACATCAAGGGAGATTAAAATCAGACTCATGCGAAATGACCAGCTCAAAAGCAAGTACATAATTAAACTTTTACAAAAATTAAGGTTCAAAACGATTTATAAGAAAATAACTGAGTTTTTTAGTGGAAGTTTGTGGTAGTTGACGACAGCGTAACGACGGAAGATACTGCCGGAAACACCAAAGAGTAGAAGAGGTTTTTATTTTTATTTTTTTATTTTTACTCTATGGGAATGGGGATAGGGGTGACGGCTAGGGTTCCGAAAAATTTGGGGAGATTTTTCGTCTCAGTGAGGAGGGAGGGGCGGCCGGCTAGGGTTTCTAGGAGATGGGGAGGGTCTGCATATGGAGAGGAAGGGGGTAGAGGGGCGGCTAGGGTTAGTCCTAAAGGGGGGAGGGACCGGTCCATTGAAGAAAGGGAGAGGGTTAGTCTTTATTGTTAAGACTTAAGTAAAGGAGATGAAACGACGTAGTTTCCATGTGAAACTACGTCGTTTGGTGGTCTGGGAGGAAAGGTTATTGGACCGGATTCTGACTTATAGGAATTGTGCTGGACAAATTTGTTGGCAAAATTGGGACATTGAAATTGCTTTTGGCCCAATTTTAACTAAAACTAAATAGACTCCTTATTTCTTTTCTTTGCTTTTAATTCTACAAAATTAATTAAAATCTAAATTAAGTCCTACATAAAATCTAATTTGTGGAATTAAACCTAATATCTATTTCTAACATATGAAGAATTAATTAACTTAAAGGAATCATGTCAATAGAGTTCTGGAAATTTTGGTAGCTGGGACTACCGAATAGCTGTGATTTCACTGCTGTTGCTGTTGTTATTGCTTGCTGAGCTCCTTATTACACAAAAATCAAAATGAAAATAAACTAAACAAGCCTATCAGCTATAAGTTACAAGATTCCTATCTATTAGTCTTTTGAAGCTTTATCTTGAGTCTTGGCTGGTTCTTCACGCACACTCTGATCTGAATCTTGATGCTTGCTAGTTGTAGGTGCTAGTTCATTCTTCTATGATTTCTTCGGATCAAAACGGGACATGTAAAGCTCGTGACTTCAATCATGTCTTGAGCAGTCCACATCTTTTCTCCGCTTCTGCATTTTGGATTCACTTATTTTCCTTTTTTTTAATTTTGGATTGAGACTACTTTTTGATCATCTCGAACCCTGTGCCTTGAGGTAAAAACCTGCTCAGACACCAAAATAAATGAACGAACGAAATTATTCTACCCCAGTTTTCACTAGGAAAATTCCATAAGTTATTTGTAACAAAACTCTATACTATTTTATTATTGAAAGCAAATAAAAGGTCAGGATTGGTGTACCCTGAGGAAACAAAGACTAGAGAGTGGAGACCCTATGTCTAAAATGAAAGCAACTAGGGAGTGTAGACCCTATGTTAGAAAAGAGACTAGGGAGTGGAGACTCTATGTCTAAAAGAAAATCAACTAGGGAGTGGAGACCCTATGTTGGAAAAACGACTAGGGAGTGGAGACCCTATGTCTAAAACAAAATCAATTAGGGAGTGGAGACCCTATGTCGGAAAAGGGACTAGGGAGTGGAGACCCTATGTCTAAAACAAAATCAACTAGGGAGTGGAGACCCTATGTCTAAAACAAAATCAACTAGGCAGTGGAGACCCTATTTTGAAAAAATGACTAGGGAGTGGAGACCCTATGTCTAAAACAAAATCAACTAGGGAGTGCAGACCTTATGTTGAAAAAGAGACTAGGGAGTGGAGACCCTATGTCTAAAAAAAGCATCAACTAAGGAGTGGAGACCTTATGTTTAAAAAAAGTATCAACTACGGAGTGGAGATCCTATGTTGGAAAAGAAAACTAGCGAGTGGAGACCCTATGTCTGAAATAAAATCAACTAGGGAGTGGAGACCCTATGTTGGAAAAGCGACTAGGGAGTTGAGACCCTATGTCTAAAAATAAAGTCAACTAGAGAGTGGAGACCCTATGTTGGAAAAGCGACTAGGGAGTGAAGACCCTATTTCTAAAATAAAATCAACTAGGGAGTGGAGACCCTATGTTAAAAAAGCGACTAGGGAGTGGAGATGCTATGTCTAAAACAAACATCAACTAGGGAATGAAGACCCTATGTTGGAAAAGGAGATTAGGGAGTAGAGACCATATGTCTAAAAAAATGCATCAACTAGGTAGTGGAGATCCTATGTGGGAAAAGAAGACTACAAAGTGGAGACCCTATGTCTAAATTAACATCATCTAGGGAGTGGAGACCCTATATTGGAAAAGAGATTAGGGAGTGGAGACCCTATGTATAAAAAAAAGGCATCAACTAGGGAGTGGAGACCCTATATTGGAAAAGAGATTAGGGAGTGGAGACCCTATGTATAAAAAAAAGGCATCAACTAGGGAGTGGAGACCCTATGCTGGAAAACGTAGCTAGGGATTGGATACCCTATACTACCATGACTTTGAACTTTTCTTCTTTTTATTTTTCTATTAAGAGAATGAGTAAAATACCAGAAAGAATTTAAAAAAGACTTCCCTTTTGGAGTCGTTGCTGCTACAGAGCTATTTTTAGCCTCCGTGTAATTTCTTTTGGTTGCACCTGGTTTTTGCAAAGTTGCTTTGGATTACACCTGTTTTCTATTTTTCAAACAAAGAATAATTTGTCAGTTTGAAATGGTGGTTGATTTTGTGGCCTTGATTGTTTCAGTCACTTGATCTCGGCTCGGCTCCTTTGATGATAGTTTCAAATGCAACTGGTTATTTTCTGAAGACCGATTTCATTTCTAGCCCTTGAGAAACTTTGGCTTTTCTATACTTTGCAATGACTATTGGTCATGTAGTACTTAACCTTTTTCAACTTTGTCTTTCCTTCATGGGCATTTCAATCTTATTTCTTTCTTTCAATTTTTAACTTCAGAGCATTGTGGAATCTTTGGCTCTTCAAACTATGCCAAGACGGTTAGCTACTTGGGAGTTAACCTTTTTAACTTCATTTTGCCTTTATAGGCACTTAAATTTGATTTTCTCCCTCCAAGAATTTTTGATTTTGAAGTATCGGCCGCCATGGCCAATCAGGGTCGATTTGACGCCCTTGCCGAGGCTGGGTGCCTTTTTTGCATATTAGTTTGTATCAAACGAAAGCCCTATAAATCAGTCTTGCTATCTCTTCTTTGCCTTAGTCTTTGGAACAAAGTTAAGCCGAAAGGGATTCAAAGAAAACAACCAGTGGAATGGAGAATGAGTTTAAACAAGAAGTGTCTCTTTCGAGGAAAGGAAAGAAGGACTGATCTAGAGTATATACGGACTTCAATGAACATGACATGCCTTTTGGAATGGATGCCTAATCTGTGTAAACCGTCTGACTCTCATAAATTCATCACAATGTTTGCCTCGAAACCGAGAAACCTTGCATAGGACTGTGTTGATGCTCATGGTCGTGAAGATCCACCTTTCGATCAATGGTGCCCTTTTGCGGGTTTTCACCAACTGACCTCTCTCATTTTTCTTCTCACCATCTCCTTATGGTGCCCTTTGCAAGTTTTCACTAACAAGACTCTCTCATTTTATTTCTCTTATTTGGTTGCATATGATTCAAGTAACTGTATCCTCTAATTTTGACCATCTTTGCCGATTGATCGGAAGGACTTGAAAAGGATTTGGGTCAAAATAATTTGGATTGAATTACAGCTTTGGAACCTTTCAGGCGAAACCATCGCCAAAACATTATAACATCTACCCCAGTTTCACTTTTTGGGGAAATTTGGATTTTTCTTTTGCAGTGACTGAACCTCAGAGAGACGCTGCCTACACATCCTTTTGGAATCAAGTCGAACGTAGTTCAAGGAAACTTTTATATATATATTTTTATTTTTTTTATTTTTGTTTTGTTTTTCTTCCGTTTTCTTTTCTTTTCTCTTTTTTTTTCTTTTTCTTTTTCTTCTTCTGTTTTTGTTCTTTTTTCATTTTTCATTTTTTTCTTTTTTTTTCAATAATACTTTCAGGTTCCACAGAGGATAATCAAAGAAGAGTAACCGGCTCAAAGAGTTTACAAAAGGGTTAATGGTGTTTGGATAACGAGAATGAAAGATTTCGTCATCCCA